GTGACAATTAACAATAACAGAAGCCGGGATCCAAACACAACTCTCTCCTGTCTCTTTTATATGATGAGACAAATTGATGCAGTTATATGCTTCAGTTATATGCAGCAAATATGGTACATCAACCAAGGTTTTTACTTTAATATACTTTGCTATACTTTATTTGTTTCTATATACACTCATCATCCCCTTTATTAGGAACACCTGTATATCTGCACATTCATACAGTAATCTAATCATTCAATAATGTCATGTGACAGTTGAAGACTGGAAAAAGACCAGAAGACCAGATTTTAATCTCATCTTCACCTGTCCAGTTTGGGTAAGTCTGTGCCCATGATAGCCTCAGATTCCTGTTCTTGGTTGACAGGAGAGGAACATGATATGGTCTTCTCCTGTTGTAGCCCATCCACCTCACAGTCGATGTTCTGTGCATGCTGAGATGCTTTTCTGCTCACCATGGTTGTAAAAATTATCATTAGAGTTACTATGTTTCATTTTCCTCTCTTATCAACAAGGTGTTTCCATCCACAGAACTGTAACTCACTCGATATTTTTGTTTTTTACGAAATTCTGTGTAAACACTAAAGACTTTTATGTGTGAAAATCCCAGGAGATAATCAGTTTCTGGGATACTCAAGGCAGTTTCTGGTACCAACATCCATACGAAAGTCACAGAATTCACTCTTTTTTCATTCTGATGTTTGATGTGAACATTAACTGTAGCTTTGGACTTGTATCTGCATGATGTTTTGCATTGCACTGCTGCCACATGATTGACTGATCTACTTCAATGTACAGGTGCATAGGTGTTCCTATTAAACTGGATGGTGAGTGTATATTTAGCAGGTAGTATTGCTGCATCACGGCTCCAGGGTATGAAGTTTGATCTTTCGAACCTAGAATATTATAGCTCTCTGGTCTATGAATATATCTGTTGCATTGCTTGCTCTTGACCTCCTAGGCTGATTACTATACACAGCTGTTTCTACTTAATGTTCTCATTACATTTAATTACACAGTGTAAAGTAATGGTTCGGGGTGGGGGCAGGGGAGAAGTGGGGTGGTGTGGATAGGGTTGTTGTACGTGACAGATTCACCCAAAAAACAGTTATGAATTCTAAATTAAAGCTCTTAATTAGATCTACATAGAGCCAAAACATCAACGAGTCCCTACTACGAACTATGAGTGATTCAGTATCTGCCATGAAACTAATAGGAAATGTATGAGAATGAGAAACAATAATTTTGCACCCACTGATTTCAAGGGTTCAGCATTCAGCATGTCACAGCTGTAATCAACGTGCTGGAGTGGATGAGACAAGCCTGATGATGAAGACCCCATTAAGCTACAGCTTTAATTCACTGAATAGTTGTTAACAGCAGTGCATGATGCTTTTCGACATGTGTGTGCATGTGTGTTTTAGGGTGTGGATGACCTCCAGGCCAGTTTAATTCAAGGAAAGTGCTGCTCTGCTTTAATCCCCCAGCATGTGTGGCATCTAAAACTGGTTTGCACCATCTGTCCCCGATGCTCATTTGACTTATGACGAGAATCAACAAAAAGCAGAGCAGTTATCACTTTCTGATTTGATCCCGCTCCTGCTTTTTCAACAAACAAAACTGCAAAAGCAGACAATATATTTTGTGCCTACGTCTGCAGACTTTTATTGTGAAGTTATAAATCAGGGGCCAGGGCCCAGTTAAAATGCTTCACACAGATAATAAAGTAAGTCATTAAAAACTTCCAAGTCACTGTGACTATCAAAAATATTAAAGGGCTTGTATACAGTAGAGGAAAATATAACCATTCTCCCACTGTCTGAGTGTGTGTGTGTGTGTGTGTGTGTGTGTGTGTGTGTGTGTGTGCGTGTGCGTGTGCATGTGAGTCTTGCTCTTGCTGTGCTGTTATGTGTTGAGGTGATCGATGACTCGCATTGCTCATGGGTACCTGGACTAAATCACAATGCTTCCCAAAGGTCTGAAGTATCTTTATACCACGCTGCTTTTGAATTCTAAAACATTATGGGTCAGAAGGTGTTGAGTAATTTTCTATAACAGCAGCTCTGAGAGCAGTGCCAGCTGCAGTACAAATCCCATTTCTGCAATAACAACTTACAGCGGCTTATATGGTGGATGCTCCATATATTCTACGTCTACTAATTAACAGATTTAAAAACATCCACATATTTAGCAACAGCATTTGCAAAGAAGCATCCAATCATTGATATGGTGAAACGTCTTGTAAGGAGACATTTAAATAAGATTTATGAAAGGAGTCACATGAAAACTTTCATAACAGAGGACTTTACTCTTTATAGTTTATTTCAGTAACAAAAAAAAATAATGGCATGTTGACATACAGTAAGTGATAACATTTTGTGGACATTGAACAGAATTAAGTGTCACTATAAATGGATAAAAAATAGAGGCTTGTTGCTTATATGAACAAAAATGTAATCATTGGCAAATTGCTGCAGTATAAGAGTTATAAAGCATTGCGGAAAGTTATTTTTCTATAACAGCATGCATTGCCATGTTTGGGTAAAAGTCTATCAGAGAGGCACATCTTGACTCTTCTCAGTCTTTCTTGCAAAAATATTCTAGATCCATCAAACTTTAAGGGCATCTCCTATGCACCTATGACTGCTTCAGGTCACCCCACAGATTTTTAGTTGAATTCAGGTCTGGGCTCTGGCTAATTCATTCCATAACGTTGATCTTCTTTTGATTAAGCCATTCCTTTGTTGATTTGGATGTATGCTTTGGGTCATTGTCATGCTGAAAGCTGAAATTCCTTTTAATCATCAGCGTACTAGCAAACACCTGAAGGGTTTGCGCTAAAATCAACTTGTACTTGTAGCTACTTTGATTAAAGCCCCAGTCCGAGCTGAAGAAAAGCAACCCTAAGGCATAATGCTGCCAGGACTATGCTGCACCGTGGACATAGTGTTCTTTTGGTAATTTTCCCCAAACATACCTTCATAATTATTGATTTATTATACCTTTTGTAAGTGGTTTCATCAACACAACACATTTTGCCACATTTAGTTGAGACTGGATATTTTTCTATGAGAAAGGGCTTCCATCTAGCCACCCTACTGCATAGCCAAGACTTGTGATGTGAATATGAGAGCTTGTTGTCACATGCAGAAAGTAATCAATACTTGTCAGATATTCCTGCAGCTCCTTTAATGTTGCCATTGGTCTATTGGCAGCGGCAAGTTTTTGTCTCGTCCTTTTGAAAATTTTGGAGGGACATCCTGTTCTTGGTGATGTCAGTGCCATGCCCCCATTTTCTCCACTTGTTGATGATGGCCTTCACAGTGTTCCACAGTACATCCAATATTTTGGGAAAATGTTTGTACACTCCTAACCGATTCCTTTTGACAAATGAGATACCATGCATACTTTGTAAGCTCTTTACAGGCCAGGGCTTCAGCACAGTCAGATGAAACCAAAAGGATGTGAAGAAAATCCTAAAGAAACAGCTTTATTTGATCTTTATTTGGGGTTAATCAGAATAATTGAATTGATGACAGCTGTACGATAATTACTTTTGAACATGAGATTGAATGTGATTGGATCATTTTGAACACAGCCACATCCCCAGTTATAAAAGGGTGTGCAAGCTAATGCAACAAGCTTATTGTAATTTTTCCCCCCTGTTTTTCCCCAAAACATTTCTGATCGTTTTTCACTTATTTTGTATCCGTTGTAATTTCACACTGAGGGTGAAAAAAGTTCTGAAATGATTTATCTTGGTTTAATTTTTTTCATCACAAAAACTTGCCATTGTAACAGTGGTATGTAGAGGGGAATTTTATATCCAGTGTAGCACTCCCTGTCAGTAGTACTTACTCCAACCCTTATAACAGTTTGCGTCACTTTTTTGCTCCTTCACCAGCTCTATTATCAAAATCTCACACTACATGCTTCACATCATGGTTCCTATGGCAACAGCGGCAGGTGCTTTTATTTTCTGTTTCGGTCTTGTCTCCATCAGTGTGTCTTCAGTGGTTCATTTTGTAGATTGTTTTCACAGGTCGTTTGTTTTTCCTGATTAGTTTATTCATTTAACTTTCATTCCCCTGTCTTTTTGCAGAAAAAAATCTTGTCATGCATTAAGCTTACAATACTAAGCAATATTATCTCTGTGGGATTTCAAAGGAAATTTATTTACTGGTTTGAAACTATGCGTGTTTGCCTAGTCTGTCTGCATTTTGGCCCCCTGCTTTGGATATATCTTCTTTTTTTTGTATTCTGTAAATTCTTTGGTATACAAACACCTGCCAAAGTCTGCTCTATCAACCATTTATACCAAAAATGACTCATTTATCAGATTGGCATAAAAATGTCATGACCTCTTTGTCAAGCAAGCTGGTGGTAAATGATTTCTACCGGCAAGTCCAATCATCTGCCAACCTGTTGCATGAAAAATGTAAAAATAAGGTATTCAGGCAAAAACCTACAAAATAATTGTATATTCTAGAGCAAAGGCATGCATTTGATCCGGAGCGCTGTCAATTTGTCTCCATTATCAGTCACTCTCAGGCGAAGTGCACGTGCATACAGATATTTTTCAAAATGTAGTTGTTGGGTTTTGTTTTTTGTTTGTTTGTTTTTAAAACAAATCCATCCACATAAATAGCATTTCCAAAAATATCTCCAAAAATGTTAAAGCCCAATGACAACATATCAAAAACTTTTTATGTCATCTGATGGATAATGTTAAGAATATGTGAGATGGAACTACTGCTTAATGTTACACTTGGGTCTTTGTTTGTAGGGCATGAGAAGATTTAGGTGTAGTACAGCGTATTGTGCAGTGCACCATGTTCTTGTGCCTCCGCATGTGGGTCTATTAATTAAAAAAGTTAAGTTAAATTGCAAACACATTATAAAATAAGTAATTGCAGATCACAAGGTAACATGCTGGTCATCAGCCATGATAAACCATTCGTTTAAAACGACATCTCTAATCAATTATAACTCCCGATGGACGCATGGTGGGTTAGTGGTTAGCATGTTCGCCTCACACCTCCAAGGTCTGGGGTTCGATTCCCGCCAGGGCCATTTATTTATTTATTTGTGGAGTTCTCCCTGTGCTGCGGGGATTTCCTCCATGTCTAAATTGTCCATAGTGTATGACTGGACCTACACATATGAGTGTGTATGTGATTGTGCCCTGCGATGTGCTGGTACCCTGTCCAGGGTGTACCCCGCCATGTGCCAGATGCTTCCTGGGATAGGCTCCAGGTTCCCTGCGACCCTGAGGAAGGAATAAGCGGTTGAAGATGGATGGATGGATAACTACTGATAATACATTTATGATTGTTGCTCAATTTATTTCAGTTCTTGCCTTTACGTGATGCATCGATTCAATTTGTCTGATCTGCACACCCATAGAAAATACTACATTTTAAATAATATGCTCATACGTGTGGGCAGGGCCTCGGAAACAGTAAGTCATTATTTCCTGGATGTTTAATTGAAAATTGCTTATTAGATGTCCTTTTTAAGAATATAAATGTCAAGTTATTTCTATTTAGAAGAAGTTAAACTGATTGTCTTTTAAAAATCTAAAAAAATATTTGAATGGTCATGTCTTTACAGCATAATCCCATCTGCAGTGTAACACTCTCTTCAATACAGTTGCTGGTGAGTATTACTATTCTGACAAGTCGTGTTTAAAAACAAACACAAGTAATGTGAAATGTATTCAACTGAGAGAAAAGAATGAGAGTGTACCCGTATAATTATAGAATTCTACTCAGTGCTGTATAATTATAACATTATAGTGTAATGTATAACACTGTATTATGTAATAGCTATAAGAATGTAATTAAGCCATTACATCTACACAATTGCATTCCTTGTTCTCTTCTATTCACTATTACCTTTTTATCCTTTCACTGTATTATAATGTTTCCAGAAAAAAGACACTGAATGTGACATATAAAGAGGTTACAATGAAAAAAATGTTAAAGTTAGACGTGCAATGGTTGGAGGAAGATTAATGTAATGACGAGTCTTGATGATTTAGGAAAACAGTAGTTCGTAGTTTAAGGTTCAATATGGAAATACCTTAACTTCAGAAGAAGGTGCATAGTATAGTGTGTGTGTGTGTGTGTGTGTGTGTGTGTGTGTGTGTGTGTGTGTGTGTGTGTGTGTGTGTGTGTGTGTGTATGTGTATGTGAATGCATGACAAATAAGCACCGATCACTCTCCATCCACCCAGGTCAACACTAATTTTTCTTTTTGCTGACACAACTGCAATCAGATTAACAGGAAAGTGTGCGTGTGTGTGTGTGTGTGTGTGTGTGTGTGTGTGTGTGTGTGTGTGTGTTTTCAGAATAATAATAGAAAAGTAATTATAGTGAAATGCACACAGGGGAATCATGCGCACACCACCACTGCAGCCTGACACACCATACACACTTTACACATACACTCACACTCACACACACACACACACACACACACACACACACACACACACACACACACCACACACACACACACACACACACACACACACACACACACACAGACACACACACAATCTTAGATTCAGAGCAGTGATGAATTGCTCTAATTAAGGCTGATATTTATCAACTAGAGCAGGCTTTCTTGCTATCACACTAGCTCTTGTTATCTGGCTTTATCTGCAATAGATGTTAATTCGCACAGATGCACTGAGTCTTCTCCTCTCACGGATAGCAATCTGACTGCCAAAGCCACTGTAAATTTACCCAACAAATCATTTGCAGTTTGTCTCTCTCTCTCCCACTCACACAAAAACAGTTTCTGATTGCATAGCTGTCTTGTATAGCAAGCTACCGAGGCAATAACATCTATCAGAAAACATTTGTTTGGGTTTGGGTTGACGTAATGGATATGTGCTGCTGATGACACACACATTATGCAGCTAAACAGTGGTTTCTACCAGAAGCTGTCATTAACCCAGCATGTGCCTCCTACTGCTTACTCTATAATGGATTGGCTTATGGTTTATATCTATTTGTAATAAATAAGATTTAATAAAGCAGAACTATTGGCATTGAAACTAATTGTAAAAGATGTTCTGAACATGGCCCTGGAAGTGGTATGAGTAGTCAAGCAAGCTTATAACTCATATAAACCCATCCATCCATTTACCATACTGCTTATCCCACACAGGGTCACAGGAGAGCCTAGAGCCTATCCCAGCGAACTCGGGGCACAAGGTACCAAGCCATCACACGGCACAATCGCACACACATTCACACACTACAGACAATTTAGCAAATGTAAACCAGCTTACAATGCATTTCTTTGACTGGCGGAGAAAACCAGAGTACCCAGATGAAACCCACAAAGTATGGGGAGAACATGCAAACTCAGCTCAAACAGGGTAGAGGTGGTATTCAAACCCCCAACTCCAGAAGTGTGAGTCTAACCACTAAGTCGCCATACCCCCCAGCTCATATAAATATATACATATAAATATATAATAGTTTTCATATGTAAATATAATAGTTTCCTTAAAAAAAAAAAAAAAGAACCATCTGGATATTCTTTGTGTATTCCACTTTGAGAGCCCTGGGTTTAAAGGATACAGTTCATAAACTGTGACATATGGGAATGAAAAAGTTATTGATTGTTGTTAGGTTATTGATAAAATGATGATGAGACTGAGTCACTACCCTTTCATGTGTTACACTTGGTTGCCAGAGAGGTATGTTGCTAGCATTTTGAGTAGTCAGTTGTCAGTTGTTTTGTGTGCTGTACTGTAGCCAGCGTTGGGTAGGTTACTAAAAAAAAAAAAAGTCATCCACTACAGATTACAAATTACTACTTTAAAATTTTAATCTGATTACTTTACTTTAATTCATTAATTTTAGCTCATCAATATATGACATGATCAGAAAAAGTCAGATTTATCATGACACTTTTCTTGGATGTTGTCACTGTTTGTAGGACAGACCGATAAAATATAAAAAAATTTCTAACTAGGCTAGAATGGTGTCGTTAGCCAAGGGAAGGCACAGCTAAGCTATCATTGTATGGGTTTAGCTGCTACAGTGCCATGTAAAGCACATTATATTTCCTGCTCATATCACGTTCACATAAACTGGAACTCATATAAACATTTACACACCTTGTTTTCCTGCTCAGCATCAGAGTATGTTACTGTTTCAGTTTCCCCTTTACTGGTAAAATAATAAAATCGGCATATATCTATTTTACCTCACACTGACTGTGTGAAGTAGTGTTTGGCAGAATTGAGAGCTGTCAGCCAATAAGACACGAGTATTTACATGTATTTTCCTATAAACCCTGTCTGATTGTTCTTACCTCCGTTCACTGAAGATATAAAATTACAACACCGTCGTCTTCTTTTACTGATGTTCAGTTACATAGTGACAAACCGCTCCAAGAGAAGAAATATTCGGGACTAAAGAAAAAATCTTCTGGGCAAAACGTGATTTGTTTTAAAAATTTATTTTACTTAATATTGTTTTCATAACAATAAACTTGTAACTCAAGTAACATAATTTTATTGACATCAGTAACTGCAATGAAATTACATACATTTAAAATGTAATGCGTTACATTACTGCATTATCAGAAAAAGTCATTAGAATACAGTAATGCGTTACTTTGTATTGCAACTCTGATTGCAGTTTACCCTTTAGAGAGAGAAGTGGGAATCTTTTGTGGTTTGTTCATCTGCAGGTATGAGTAATTCCATTCTTGACATTTCATTTTTCCATTTTTTAGCTGTCCAATTTGTTTATCCATGGAACATGACTTGTCTTCACTGTTTTTTTTCTTGGATATATTCTTTATTCTATTGGATGTAATTTAATAAGTCATATCACGTATCACAGCCAACTAGGGAGTCCGATTCCCAGAATACACCTCAGCCTACAAATATGTCTGCCATGGCCTACAACTACCAACCCAGCACACAGGCACAATCACAATCTCCAGAGTTGTAATCATACCCTCCTGTTGCCTATTACACACACACATACACACACCACCCTTTATAAGAGACTTTTCATTCACAAAGACTTTGTGAAATATACCCTCATTAGATTTGTCTCTGTCATTATAAAGCCATTGTTTGTTATTGCTTCTCTAGTTTTTGATTCTGTTTGTTCTCGAATCCGATTTTCTGCATATCCAATTCCTGTCTGTTTGTTTGAATGCCTGACCCTTGCCTAACTACTGTTTACGATTTTGCTCTTTAATTGTTTTTGACATCTCATTAAAGCTGCCTTACTTGCAATTGCTTCCATCTGATCCTCTATTACATGACACATGTATTATTGGCCTATAGGAAGTATGGATTATTCATCCTTATTATCCATGATGGAGTGGGAGATGGTGACTGATTCAGATAATGAGGAAACCAATTACCCGTGGACTTTTTTGTTGAAGTTCATGTGCCATAAGTAATCAAATAATAAATCTTACACCTTTATATGTAATCTTTGCAAACCAAAGATTAACATACTTTGTCCAATACTTTGAGTATAATACGATGTCTGAGAGTTATATAGAAATATATATATATAACTCGATCGTCATGTTAAATTGATAATGTTCTTAACGTTCACATTCTAAATCCCTAATTGTTCTGAATAATTTTTTCAATTGTGTTTAATTTCTTTATGCAGAATAATACACAGTTATTCATAAGCTGATTCACAATCATGACATAGAAAAAATTTTGCCCATTTAAGTAGCTTCAACGTAGTAGGCTCCTTTTTCTTAGTAACTTGTAGTGTAACTGATAACTTTTTTAAAAGGGTAGCTTGACTGTAGCTTAAATACTTCACACTATGAGTAGCTTTGAACTTGAAAAACTACAGTTTCAAAGTAGCTGCCCTAACACTGTTGACATCACAGCACAGGCATTGTCTTTAACTTGTGTGTACGGTGATTTAGTCAGATGATGTCACGGTTATAAATCAGGATTTTAGAACTGCAGAGCAGCAGCTTGTAAGTGGCTTGGAAGTGACTGCTGATTAACATGTAGTCTTAATGTGCCGCATGTCAGTCACTATTTCATACTCGTTCTG